AATTCAATTTAATTTTAGCGAGCAAAATGTTTCAAAATGTTTTAGAGTTTGGTGCGTGTCGCTTTTGGTAATATAAGGAGGCGACTCGTATTATTTTACCTTTTTTGGGAAAAATGCGTGAAACTAATGTCGTGGATTTTTAGCTATGGATGATCTATTAAATTGTATAGTATCAAATTTAATTGTGGTGTTAGATCTTAAATGCGCTATATTATGCATAAAATTAGCTGCTCAATGCAATTCGGTGCCTATTATTTTGGATATAATTTTCACTAGATTTTGAAAAATCAGTGTTTGAATTTTGGCGTGTATAAGACTCGAAAAAACAAAGCTAGTATGGCCTCCTTCTCTGTTGCTACTCCCTGCTGTGACTTACAAATTGCCGTTTTTGAAAACTTTCTCTTTCAAATATTTTTTGAAAATATTTTTTTTGAAATCGGATGTCATCCTCCAAAAAAGTATGGATAGTCTATAAAATTGTATAATATAAAATTTAACTGTGGTGGTAAGTGTTCAATACCGGCATAAAATTATGGATCAAAAGTTGGTACGCAGTTTTTTTTAGGAATTCGGCGCCTCTCATTTTGGGTGTTTTTACCGATTTTAAAAATAAAATCGATGTTTCGAATTTTGCCGAGTATAAGACTCGATAAACAGTGCTAGTATCGATTCCGCGGTTTTGCTACTACCATCGTCCATCAATTTTCCAATTGTCGTTTTTGAAACCTTGCCTTTCAAATATTTTTTGAAAAATTTTTTTTTTAGTTCTAAAATTCATCGTTCAAAAAGAGTCTAGTCGGCTTAAAACACAAAAGAATTTGCGAGGTACTTCCCCTTTTTCCGGGCGGTCTCCGTCACCGTATCCAGGTTACGGTGTGCATCCCAAAATGGGAGTGCTCTCCTCGGTGCAGCCGTTCCGGTCCGCGCCATTCCTCTTGACACCCCGACTACTGCATCAAAAGACCAAAATCTAAACCGAAGATGGCCCGCAGCAGCTTCTGGGAGATTCTATTCTGCATCATTTGCCCGGTGGGTTTCGGTGGTTTTTTAATGTCGAAAAATGCCGAAATTCAAGGCGTCGTCTTTGCTGAGGTCCAAATTTCCAAATTTCGAGATTTTTTGATAATACCGACATTTCTGTACGTCGAAACCTCATATCGAAATTTTTAATTCCTAACTTTCCAAAATATCCTAATTTAATTTGACTGAAATGGCCTGAAGTCGAATTTCCAGAATGTCGATCTTTCATATTGTCGGAGTTTGTCGAAAGACCCTTTTTTGAAATTTTCGAGTGCCGAAATTACCTACTTTCGATATTGTCGAATGTCATCGAAATGTCGAATGTATATCGAAAATTCATAATGGCAAAACTTTGCGAATTTCAACATTCGCAATGCCGGCATTCACGTTGTCGAAATACCGTAGCTCAACTTTCATAATCTCGAAATCCGTGTGTCAAAATTATGGGCATAATAAATTAAAGGTGGAATCTCGGCATTACGCCATTTTGCAATTAACAAACTTTTTCTGACACTTCGATTTTGAAATTTTCAAATATCGACATCATGGTATTTCGACAATATCAAATTTCGTCATTGTGAAGCTTGGATATCATAAGTTTCGATATCCTTACGCTTCGAGAAACTAAAGTAGTAACTATAAAAATTCAATGCTGTGAATTTCGGCATCAGTTACGGCTCCAGAAAAAAATAAAATGTTTCGGCGGCCAGTCCAGCCAATGTGTCAAACGTTGGAGTAATTCATTGTCACATAACTAGTTTTTTCATAATTTCTATTTGTAAAAACAACTCCTCCTTCGTGCTACAGGGCCGTAAAGTGTCCCAAAATGTTCGCAGTGGTTTACTACTAAAAGGATACGTAACTTTTTTCGTAAAAAAGCGGATGATAAAAATGATTAAGATAAAAAAATGGGAAAACCCGGTTGTAAAAGAGGCTTTAACCTCCGTAAATCAAGAAAGAAAAGAAAAAAGTGGAAAGCATTATTTTTGTATTTCCGCTTTTTGCCGGAGCTACATTGTGCTGACAGCAGCAACGCGGCCCTAATAATACCCTGAAACACCTATTTTTTTTTTCAGCCGGTGACCGTGGGGCTGGTGACGGGCGACGGCGGAAAGGCATGCCTGAACTTCCTCCTCTGCATGCTCTTTTACATCCCTGGACTCATCCATGCCATCTACATCATGATGACCTATTAAAAACGATGTTAATACCGATGCCTTTGTGCTGCTAATTCTAAAATTGTCAGTTGGATTTGACTGAAATTATGTTATTTTTTTAGGAACTTCTGCTTTGAAAGAAATTGGTGAAACAAAAAAAAAAGGTTTCGAAAAATGTCATGAACATGCTCAAGGGCTGACATACAATGCATCTGCAATTTTACAGGCTAATTTCAAAGGAAACCAGGCTAGCAGAGAGCATTTAGGAAGAAAAGGGAACAAAGGCTAGCAGAGAGCATTTAGGAAAAAAGGGAAGGCAGGCTAGCAAAGAGTATTTGGGAAGAAGAGGTAAGGGTAGCTAGCAGACAACATTTAGGCAGAAGAGGGAAGGCAGGCTAGCCGAGAGCATTCGGGAAGAAGCGGGAGGGCAAGCTAGCAGAGTGCCTTTAGGAAGAAGTGGGACGGCAGGCTAGCAGGGTGCCTTTAGGAAGAAGAGGTAAGGGTAGCTAGCAGAGAGCATTTAGGACGAACAGGGAGGGCAGGCTAGCAGAGAGCATTTTGGAAAGCCTTAGGCAGGCGGTGTCGAAAATGTTATCATTTGTTATCGTGTTATTAATTTTCATTTTTCCATTTTATTACATTTATTACATGAAACATCATAAAAAATACGCGATAAACCTGAAACTTCAGAGCATTAAGACGTGGATTTGGGATTGAAAACCGTAACCCGAGTGGTATAATCGTAAAGTGAAGACGGTAAGACACATATTAATGGGCAGATTTAATGGGAAAGGCACGAATTTCACGATTCACAACGTAATATTTGGCGAATTTTAACCAATAAAATCACTAGCTTACAAATTAGCAATTAAGTGAGGGTGCATATATACTCGTTTTGTAAATAGTAAATATCGAAAACAAAAACGAATTAAATGTGAATTTTATAAAGCAACAAAAGTAATGCCGATCACTTATCAACAAAATGTTTTTAAAAAAACACAAGGGGGTTGCGGAAGAAATATAATCAAGATAGCCTTGAAACGGCAATTTCACACAAAATTTTTTGGAAATTTGTGTTTCAAAAAAATTAAATTATTTCGGATCGGCAAAATCAGGCAACTTGTAAAGTTCGAGCGTTCGAGCGTTCGAGCGTTCGAGCGTTCGAGCGTTCGAGCGTTCGAGCGTTTTGTAAAGTTCGAGCGTTCGAGCGTTCGAGCGCTTTGTAAATGTCGAGCGTTTTGTAAAAGTCGAGCGTTCGAGCGTTTTGTAAATGTCGAGCGCTTTGTAAAAGTCGAGCCGTTTTTTATAAATACCATATTAAATACTTTTAAAACGTAAAAATTATGTATTTTAAGCTGAAATTCGTGAGATTCGCGAGACGAGAGACTAGATTGGCGAATACAGTAACCAGTTTCGGTCTCGTATTTATACCGTGTTATTGTAGCAGTTGAATCGGGGTGTATTCTATTTTACATACAACTAGCAACTAGTAGTGCTATTCAGTCAGAAAACATATTTGGTGTTCTATTCGGTTATAGCTCCACAGTTTCAGTATGAAGTGGACAAGGCAGGAAGTATCGTCTTTTTTATTGATAGTCATGTGACCTCTTAAAAGTTCCGTTATTTGCCTGTTATATTGTAGGCCGTTTGTGAGCTTTATTAAAAAAATAAGAGAAGACCAGGTTGTTCTAGAGTCCATCCCTACCGATTGCTGGTTCGATGATTTATCCTTATTCTTTTTCGGTACTGTTCTTCGTTTTGTTATAACTCTTTTATATGATGCTATTTTGAGTTGTAATTAAAACTCTTAGTATATTTTTCGATGCTCTATCGAATGGCGGGTTCAAAATACCGAACGACTGGCGAAAATGCCGAATACTAACATTCCAGTAGTACTAGCACCAGTTTTAACAGTTTTTTATTTTTGCTATAACTTTTTTATATTACAAGATTTTTAGCTAAAACAAAAACTCTTAGTATATTTTTTTCATGCTCTATGGAATGGCGTTAAATCCCGAAAAAATAGCGAAAAGACGGAAGTTTCCGTGGAGTATATCTCCCCCGCGAAATAGAACAGAACCCCCTTTTCTTTCAATACGTTAGAGTATAGCGAGTACTACTCAGTAAATAATATTAGTTGTAGCATCTTTATCTCGTAAATCGTGTCCTGGTGCCCTACCCTACAAAAAAACCGTGCAAAATTACATATCTTTGTCCGTTTCTAAGTATTTAATATGGTATTTATCTAAAACGCTCGACTTTTACAAAGCGCTCGACATTTACAAAACGCTCGAACGCTCGACTTTTACAAAACGCTCGACATTTACAAAGCGCTCGAACGCTCGAACTTTACAAAACGCTCGAACGCTCGAACGCTCGAACGCTCGAACTTTACAAGTTGCCGCAAAATCAAGTATTTCTCTGTCTTTGCGAAAATTGTAAATAGAGCTCGGAATTCGAAAATTAAGTAATAGGTTCTTTTTCCAATATCGGGGGTTGAACCCAATTTCCTGTGCCCAGTAATGTCTAATAATTTCATAGTAAGTATTTTTAACCTTTTTAAGTAAAATATATTGTATTTAAAGTATGCAGTTATGTAAAAAGGCTTAAAAATTTCGAAAAATCTGAAATGTTGGTCGAAAAATAGCTACTTTTTAGTGAGAATTTAGAAATTTGCAGGTTTAAAGTAGCAAAAATACTAATATAAACACTTCCTCTATTGATGCTAAAAATTGGATCATTAGGAAAAAGCCCCCGATAATACAAAAGCACCAAAAAATATGTCGAGAATCGCTAAAATAAATAATTAATGGAAGTATTTCAAATTGGCAGTATATTCTCGAGCTCGAGCCCCTGATTATCGCAAAAGTGCTGGTCGCCGATGAGGATGTTCAAAAATGGCAGACAGTTGAACTGGGCGCACCATTTGCATTCGATCGGGATGTTCCAGAAGAAGATGTACCTGAAATTAGACAAATTAATTACAGTTTACAGCAATGTATTATACAATCTTTTAAATTAGACCTTATAAAGTATTTTTTTTTTATTTTTTTACAATTCGTTGCAGCTTCAGTTTGGGCAACCTACAAATTAAGGTTATTGGAAAAGCTTTGGAAATTAAAGCGCTAAAATAATTTGAAGCGTGTAATTTTAATCGATTTCTGTTTTGGAATTTGTACTGTGAAAATCGTGGAAAACAATCTGACTATTTTTAATTCTAATTCAATTAAGATTTTATCTGAATCATGATTTGAACGAATAAAATAAAATTACGACCTTAAATTCCGGTTTGATAAAACTTAATTTAATTTACATAAATCTTCGATAGTGAAAACTCACGTTAACGTAGCGGTGAGCGGGATGAGGATGAGCAGCGCCGCTGCGATGATCAGCTGTAAGGGAAATGGTTAGAGGGGTCACAGGTAATGCCTATTTTTCCGAATAAATTATTCAATCAAACATTCTTTATTTTATAGTTTAGGGAGTTTTTCTTGTCAGGAATTTCATACATTAACAAAACAAAAATCTTTAATTTCTCTAATCTTTTTTGAAACATTTTTGACGAAAAAGTCGAAAATCTTCGAAACTTTTTGATATGCTTTTTATTCTAAAAACTGTGTAAAACGTTCCAAAACTGTAAAAAAGTTTGTTAATGGGCTCTACGGGATTAATGTGACTATTTGGTATCTTCCGCTAACAGTCCAATAGTAGGAAAAAGATGTTTCGTCAAATTTTAGGAAAAGTGGATCCAGGTGGGCTGCAATGTTCCACGTTGTTAGTGGTCCCTCACATTTACGGTAAATTTTTTAACGGAAGCGGTTTTTTGGGCAAAAAGGCGCATTTAATTTTTACCGTGCATTTTAAGACCCATTTCTGGCGAAATTCTTGTTACAAAATTAAAAATAAAACTTATTTGTTCAAGAATTCAAAAGCTACTGTAGCTAGCAAGCTGAAAATCTCAGACAACATTTTGAATACCCTGATCCACCTCTGTGCAAATTTTCCAGTCGAACGGACCCGAAATGACGAAATGCCAGCGTGACCTTTCTATTGGAACGCCTCGTATTGGCTCCTATGGGTCATTTTTGGCCCCAGGAAATAGCAACGGGACTTAAAAGATTGAGAACAGGTTCAATGCCCAAACTCCAAAAAAAAATCCTTTTTCTATTTTGGCCGAAGCAACATACTTTTCGTCGCCGCTGTTCCTTCTCATAGCCCTCCGGGTCTTTCTTCATGTCCATCAAGTTGATGTAGGGGAAGATCACTAAAAAGGCGATAATCTGGGGTACATTTTTACATTATTTTCAGTTTTTGGACCATACGATATTTTTTTCAATTATTTCCCTTGAAAAAAATGCACATCGCCTGCAAACGAAACAATTATTACCTTACTTTTGCCGCAAGTAAGTACTCAATTTTCTGAAACATCTTGATTTTGCCTGACGCTAAATTTTTGGTAACAACCAGCGCATAATTAATTAATAACATTTCTTGCTTGAAAAATCTGCTAAACCTATATTAAATTTTATACAGCCTTCACAACATTCTCCTCCGTTCCCAAATTTTTTCTTGCCGGTAAAACTTCGATGTTTCGAAATTTTGGTAGCTCAGCACTTTTTCGGACAAATATTCGCCTCACGGTTGTGATTTCGTCAAAAATTATTTTGTCAAAATCAGTTCATTAAATAAAAAACACTAAATCAGATTTTCAAATTTCGACAAACCTATAGCAAAGCATTCCCTGAATCAAGGTGACCTACGACCTACCGACGGAGATGAGCAATCCGAAGATGAACCCGAAAAGATGGGTCCAGTTGTCGACCCATGGGAATAGACCGATCACCAGCAGGACGGCGATTACGAACAGGTGCTCGATGTACGCTTTCCAAGGTGTGTCGATTAGGTCGCTAAAAATAGGTTAAGTTGAATTAAATTTAAATTAAACTTTATTCAACGTTTAATTATAGAATAGTTCCTATAGCAGATTATTTATATTTTGATTGCAAAATCATTGTTATAAAAAAAAATTCTAGCAATTTTTGACGTAAAAACGCAACGTAGAGAAACTATACGTTAGCCTAAAACTCGTACCCAAAATTGTAGACCTCGACGAGCAGCGTGCCTTGGATGCCAATCAACGAGGCCGTCGGACCGACTTGGGGCTGAAAAAGTTGCATATTAAAGGACCCTGCAAGGCCTTTCTATGGAGTTTAGGCTATGGAGTTTTGGGAGCTTAGCCCCAAGCTACGCGGCACGCAACGCGCACGCTTCGAAATCACGAAGCGAAACAGGCATATTAACTTTAAGGGACGGCGACACCCGGCAGGGGAGCTTGAATTTGAGTACGTGGCGCTCCACGACGAAAATGGGGTATACTTTTAACCGCCTCACCTATAACAAACTGAACCAGCAAATATTTAAAAAATGTTTAAAGATCTCACTTGCGTTGCGAATAATTGACAATTTTCAGGCTTGGGGCTGAAAAAACAGCATATTAAAGAATCCGGCAATTTCACAAATTTCAGGTTGGACCTTTCCGCTATGATATAATTTCAAGTTTCGTTTTTGCATTGTTGCCATCAATTTTTGCGAATTTTATGTTGCAGCTTTCCCTATTACGTATTCAAAACCTCTTAAATTAATTCAACTTCGACTGCTGTTGCCTGGTCAAAGTCCGAAAAATTGGACCAAAGTCGATGAGGCCTTGATCTCCCCCGCCCCCGCCCACCTCCCGATAATGCTAAAGTACGCAAAAATTTCTCCGAATCGCCCTTTTAGACGCATTACGGTCATTTCATCTTTCCCTATTGACGATTCGAAGTTTCTCATAGTTGTTGCATCGATAACCATTTTATCGAATTATGCTGATCACAAAGACGAAAACTCGACTTTGAAAAGTTGTTTTTGCAAATTGATGTTTCAGCTTTCCGTATCCATGATTCAAAATTTTCGTAACTATTGGGTATAAAAAAAAGTTTCATGACTCACCAAAAACGGGACAAAGATCGATGAGGCCATATTTCCACCAACTCCCGATCCAAAATACAGGATAGCCATCCGTCTCCATCCGATCAACTGCTCCAAGTCCCTGAGGAGCCACAGCTGAAGGCCCACCGTCAGCGCGCAGTGGATAAGCCTAAATTTCTAATGCAAGTTGGTATGCATTTCATTACTTAATGACGGTTTGTTTTAGCAAAATAGCTTTTGTCGAACCAGCAACTCTATTAAAATATCTTTTATACCACCTTATCAAGCAACATTTTTTCTTTATTATCCTTTTCCTAGGGATAGAGCCATGTTTCATAACTCTATTTTACAATTTCCTAACGTGAAAACCCTACACACATTTTTTAGCAAAAAATGTGGATTTGTCGATCCAAACGGCCCAGATTTCGGCTAATTTGAAAATTTTCTAGTTTTCGACTTTAATTTTATTAAATTGACTAAAGCCCAATTCAAAAACGTTACCAGGCCTTGAGACCTATAGAAAAGAAATTTGGTTCCGCCTGATAACGCGAAAGAACCGTTTAGAAAAGTCATGTTTTACTTGCCCATAACTATTTGTGCAGCAAAGTATCGTCAATCTGCGGTCTTTCGGGATTGTGCTGAATCAACGCCAAAAGTTGAAACTTCTGATTTATAAAATTTCGTTCAGTTATGTAGTATTCACCTAATTTTGTGTTGCTAGTCCCAACTTTACTTTTAATGGAATTTCCACTTGAAGCGAACAAAATTGACCACGGGCAACCCGTATTTATTGCTGCGTACTTTCTTATTTATTGCGGCGATCCATTTTCATTTTTACCTGGTTCGACCAGCTAGATAAAAATATTACCCTTAATATCCATTTAAGGCACCAAAATTTCAAAATATACCCAGCATGCAGAAAGAGCGAGATGAAGAGGCGCGAAGCCTGATCGGGACGATCTTTGATGAGAAACGGCACCATTCCGCAGACATCCTCCATACAGTGCACCTGAAAATGCACGGTAGAAATTACCGACTTCGTGTTTCAACGTTTTTGATGATTTTTGGAAAATTGCAAGGATTAATGCGGGGCCATTTTTCTTCTTTAACTATAGTAACCTTCAAAAATCAAACCAGTTTCAAATTATTATGATGTTTTAAAATTACTTAAAAACGATTTAAACGCTAGTTTATAAAATTAATGAATAAATAAAATACATTTAATGACCAAAAAGGGTTTATAATTTGATGAATCCGGATCGATACGGATTTTTTGTGTGTTTTACCGCGCCCGCGACACGCAACGCGGCGTCAATTTGCCTCGTAGACGGGAAGTAATCGGTTACGTAATTAAAAGCTGACGCGCGTGCGTGTCGCGGTGCGCCAAAATCTACGGGGGCTTTAGAGGCAAGAAAATCGATAGTATTAATTTTCTGGCCCCTTTAAATACAGATGAAAATTACAATGGTTTTTGGAGTTCCAAACACCACCAGATTAAAGAGCCTAAACTTCAAAATATGAGTGTTCGGACCTGGAACATATCTTTCAAAAAAAAGAAAAGCGCCGAGAAATTGCCTTTGTTGCAAAAAAAAGAAAAAGTGATAAATAACGAGATATATTTAGGCAAAATCGGCTTTTTCGGCCCACGAGAATTATATGTCGTAATGCCTTGCAATGCGCTCAATTTCCCGTTTTGGGTGATCGCTGGGTCAATTTTGAAAATTGAAATGATGATGATTAAAAATGATTAAAATCGCCGCCCGATTCTAGAATAAGCTATAGAATTGTGAAATTCACGCATTTTCACGTCTTTTCACGTCTAAACAGGGCCAAACGCGCATGCAGCGCGGTCGCGTTGCGGCAGCAGTTGGCTATTTGCCAGGAATCAACGCTGTGAGGGTGGACCAGACTTCTTAGCCCCCTTTTAAAGCTACGATATCCCTACTCCAAGCCTAATAAGCCAAATGTAACGTACTGTAGGAAAAACAGATTTTTAGATAATTTATAGCTTTCTTTCCATAGCTTTGCGTTCAATATGGTATTGAAATGGACGTGGATCAAAGAGACTAAACAAAATATCTGATCGGGGCCCCCGGGAATCTCTAAAACATCAAAATTCCAGGCCAACCTGTGAGCACAACGTCGCGTTCTCGTGGTAGGTGCCCTGGACGAAAGCGCAGTATTCTCGCGTCGCGATGCGGCATTGGCCCTAAAACGAAGATTTTCTAAACAGGTTTACTCTGGCTTAAAGTTGGCGTTAAATCGACACTTCTCCCGCATTTAACTGGATTTCATAATACCTTAATTTAAACCAAAACTCACCAATTGCATGAGACAACACGGCCGCCCGGTCAGCTTGCACTTCATGTGGTCAGGATACGCGCTCACTTTGTAGACGGATTCGCAGATCTAAAATAGGGAATTTTTTATGAATTTTATGAATTAATAAACTTTTTGCGAACGATTGGGTTGGTTCAAATGTTTGATTATTTGATAAAAAAAAAGCTAAAATAAAAGCTGCTTGCTTCATAAAAAAGCCAAAACTGGTTTACACCCAAAAATATTGGTTTCAAAAACATGCTTCCAAAAAATTCTCAAGGTTTGCGTAGTAGTTGAACGTGTTAATGTGTTGGCGGTTTTCGTTAGCTATCTGTGACTTACAATTAAGACTGGTGACAATAAAGCTACGTCGTCATGTAAATACCAATATTATCCTGCTTTTTAAAACACGATTTTTTGAAACATTCAATTCCTATTCATTTTTCAGGCTCTGACTGGCCATCCTATAAAATCGATTCTATCTATTGTAATTACAAAAGGCTTTGGCGAACAATTTACTAACAAATTAGGGAAAACATTAGTTTTTTTATGATACAATGGAACAAATTTAAAACTGGCCGACAACCCAAAAAATGGTTTCAAAAATGATGTTTCGGAAATGCAAAGGTCAACTTAGAAGTTCAGCTCATTAATGTATCGTTCTTGTGATCGCTAATGTTTGTGACTTTCCATTAAAACTGGTGAAATAGGGCTACTAGGCTTTACGAAATTAATCATATCACCAGGGTTGATTCGGCGGCGTAGCCGCCGAATCAACCCTGGCCCCGTCTAAACCCTATATAAAGGTCGCACTGTTAGAAATAGTTTAATTCCCAGGTTGATGGGACAGGGTATAGCAAGCAAGATTTATCAAACAACGACAGGAAATTGTGTAGGAAGAGAGAACGACGGGGGCAGAGATATTTAGATAGTAGGATGTAGTGAGCAGGGGCGAGTAGGCGATCGAGTGGCTGGGCAGGCTTCTTGGCGGGTGCTTCTCGGGACTGATGAGGAGGAGCTGGGTGGGGAGCGAAGAGATCGGAGGGTAATCTGAAGGGAGACGATCAGGACAAATTTCCAAATCCTACCTTGGGGAATGGCGGTATCAATCAGTTGGCACTACGGAGAAGCCAACAGCGCTGGAGAGAAGAGACGGAGAGAGGGCTAGTCCGCGAGGACTTCCCTGTAGACGACATTGGCCATCCTGTCGTTGGCCGCCAAGATCCTCACCCCGTCGCGTGACTTGCATCGCGAGATGGCGACGTACGCCTGCCCATGCGAGAAAATCGGGGTGCTCAGGTCGAGGCCCACCCGATCGAATGACTGCCCCTGACTTTTGTTAATGGTCATGGCGAAACTAAGCCTGATGGGAAATTGGCGTCGTTTCAGGGTGAAGGGGAGATTTTTCTCGTATTGGCAGTCAATTCGGGGAATTAAGACTTGTTTTCCTTTGCGGGAACCCGTTGCGAAACGGCAAAGCAGGACCCGAGTTTGAATCTGTTCAATGATGAGGCGAGTGCCGTTGCATAGTCCATTTTGCACGTCCAAATTTCGCAGTAGCATGACAATGGCTCCAATTTTCAAAAATAACTCGTGAGGCGGGAGGCCTGTCGGGGTCATCGAATTCATAAGTTCGGTGGTGAAGTGGTAAGAGTCTCGCGGATCAGTGGTGATTGCCTCATCAATGCTTCTGGCTAGTTGGAGGTCGCCGGGAAGCATTTCTAGCACATTGTTGTTGGTCTCAAGGGCTTGCTGATTTTTCGGGCATAAAATGGCAGCATCTGCTAATTCGCCACCATTTCTGATGATTGGTCCAAAGATTTCGTCGACCAAGTCACCGTTGCTGCGGATTTCTGGGGGTACTTCAATGTTCTGATCGGCATCTTTTGGGATTTCGTCGTTACCGACTTTTAGAACCCATTCTTTCCAGTCGTTATCATCCCCTTGGACCCTCATATTATGGATCAGGGTGGTTGTACGAATTCTGGCCAGATTGTGGATCAGCGGAGGCAAACAGCCACCTGATCACCTCGACCGCCACGTTCGACAACTGGTAAGACTTGGCGGAAATCCCCTCCAAGGAGGAAGATCTTTCCCCCGAATCGAAGGTCGTTTTGCATGATGTCTTTCAGGAGAGCATCAACTGCCTCCAGTGCATGACTTGGAGCCATTGGTGCTTCATCCCAAATGAACACATCCGTTTCCGCCAGGAGCCGGGCTTCTTTTGATTGTCGCTTCATGGTGCTGATCTTGTTATCCTGCTTGATATTCAATTTGAATGTGGCATTGACTGTCCTTCCCCCTGGAAGCAAATTTGCAGCAATTCCTGTCCAGGCGACACAGTCCACTTTTTTTCCTTTGGAGGTTGCAAGATGATTGATGCATGTGTAGACAAAAGTCTTTCCACTGCCTCCTGGTCCGTCAATGAAGTAACATTGGCCTCGTGGGTTTTCAATGGCTTCAAGTACAGCCTTAGCTACTTCTTCCTGTTCTCCATTCAGCTGTGCATACATCGCTTCGATGAGCTTCTGTGTCAATTGGTGCATCGTGTCCGTTGATTTGTGGAATGTTTAGGCCAAGAACCTTGTTAATGTCCAGACCTTGAAAAGTTAACTTGTCGCCAAGGTCCCAATAGGCTTTGGATTCGCATACGTTAAGGGGCAAGCCTCGATGGACGTAATCAGCCATTAGGTCATCTTTGAATTCGTTCCAGAGTGCAACTCCGTCAGACATTTCGCAGTATACCAAAAGCATAGCGAAAAAAGCTGCGGAGTTGGTCCGGCATTTGGTAGTTTGCGGCTTCTTGCATTGAGCGTCGGTTATGACCATCGTCCTGAAGGTACCCGGCTGCCCGGGCTGCCTCCACATAAGTTGGGTGGACAACACCGTTGATCGTGCGCATGTCTTCAAAGCTTTCGATGCCTTTGCGATAGAGTAGTAGCACTCGCAATGCGTAGGCTTCGTGGTCTTTGGGCGAGACGTTGTGGATGCGTCCGATGGTGCGTTCAGTCACGCGCTTGCGCTGATTCCATTTTTTGCTCGATGGCGGGAAGGTATAGAATTCAGGCATTTCGACGTAGTAAATGGTTCGAGTGTCGAGGATACCCACCGGCAAAGCACCAAGTTCTTCCTCCATTTCACGAATTTGTTTGTTCTTGTCAAACCACGCTGTCAGGGTCGTATCTTTCAGTTCGGCATTCGCCAACGCATCGTTCGCACGATTCACATCGTAAACGATCGGTTGGTAATCTTCGAGGTGAACGATCAGTGAGATCACTACATCGCTCTTTTTGTCCATTTTCATCCCCAACATGCGGTGGACTGCTTCGTTGGGCCCGACAAAACGGGCATCGATGAACTGCTTGATCTCGTCGACCACTGGATTTGCATCAGCGGGGTTATTTGGATTTTCATTTTGGTTCGGGCCGTTCACTCCCATCTGGAGACAGACTCTAGCTCGGTCGGTCCCTTTGTAGCAGTATTTGAATAGGTACTTGACGACGTTGAACCATGCGCAGACTTCCAAATTGATATGTGCCTCAAAGCGTAGCAAGAGGTACGGGTTGTAGGGTACAACATGCCGGTTGTCAAGCTGGATGCCACCGTTCATGACGGTTCGGCCATCATTACGGCGACGGTACTTGGGGTAACTGTCGTTGCTGATCACGGTGTCATTCTGGAACTGCTTTGGAAAACCCTTGGAGCATTCGCCGTCTTTCATGCAGGGAGAGTCAGGGTTTGCCAAACCACAGGCCCTATGCATCATGCATTTGGTTACAATAGCATACAACCGGCTGGTCGGATCTTCGGGAAGTTCGGCAGTGATCAGGTGGTTGACATCTCCGGCGGTGCGGAGTTTCCAATGAGGTGTGAGCCATAATAGCATATGACGGTGTGGTAGGCCGCGCTTTTGGAACTCAATGACGCTGACGTGAGCCATCAGCTGCCCGAGAATATGTTTGTTATTCAATTCATCGTCTAGTTGATCCATTTTCAAATAAAAGACGCGTCCAACCAAATCTGGTCGGTCCATTGCGGTTTGTCCTGCCTCCAATTCCCTCGTGATCTCAATCCAGTTTGGGTTAGCCGTGAAAGTTAGGAAAAGATCAGGTTTTCCGTAGCGTTGCATTATTGCCAACGCGTCCTTATAGCCCTCCGACTTGTTCCGTGGGGAGCCTTGGTGTTTCGCCGAAAGGATGATCTTTTGGCCAGATGGTCCTGCCGCGTTTGGGTCATTCTGATGGTCACGTAGGCCTTGCAACGTATCGAGTCGCATTGGTTTTTGCCCTTTCTTTAGAAAGTCCAAGCGGTTTTGCTCGATTTTGATCCAGCTGTCAACTAACCATTGTTGGAACAATTTGCATGCATGATGCAATGGGTTGAATGGGACATTTGGGCGTTTGAATACGTGATAGGCATAAAAGTCCATTTGAGTGACTCGTGTATGCCCAGATCCGGCAGGTTGAACGCGGTCTAGTGCCGGATGCCAGCCAAAATCTCCCCTTCGGGAAGAGGAGTGGGTAGCACATCGGATCGCAGTTTTTGTCCAGGTAACTGATGTTTCGAAGCCCCTGCTGGCGATCATGAACCACCAATAGACGCCTTCCTGGGATTTCCTCATCGTTTCCGACGTAAATCGCGGCAACTTCGTTAGCCGTAGCGGCGTTATACCTTCTCAGATCGTCATGATTTGTCTGTGCAAAAACCATTTTGACCGATTGCACGTCTCGTCCGTTTGCCTGCGCGTCTTGTTCTTCTTGGTGGTATACCTCTTGCATCATTTTAAACGCACGTGCAAATGGATTGATCCTGTTTAGCAAATCGTGTAACTCGATGAAAATTTCTCGCTCGCACTTGCGATTTACTTGGCGACCGGCCAGTTCGTTCGCTGCGTCTCCAGTGTCCATGATAAGGATTTGGGCGCATTGAGCCATCTGGCCATCTTGAGGAACTAAGCCGCCCACCAAATGAACGACTTGACCATGAACTTTGTAGGGAACGGGCCCATTTCCGCGTGGGGTGTCCAATTTAGCAACGATGGAAGCCGTGGCCAACGAACTGTTGTAATTCCGGATGTTCTCGCGGAATGCCTTATGGCGACGTTCAGTGCCGGTCAGAAGCCTTTTCAACTCATCGGGGTAGTTTACAAAAATTTGCAGTTGGATTTTGCCTTTTCTGCAGCACATGCTGAATTTGCATCTGTCATTAAGCTCTTGTGGCCAATGCATAGCATGGCATTCAGTGCATTCAATGTTCATAGGTCCCAAATCGTGCAAATCGGGGATTTGGTCGTGGTAGCGGGCAATGCCTCCGGCGGTTGTAGAAGGTTGACGCGGTCCGGCCCGCGATGGGAAAACCACATCACGTGCGGCAGCCAGTCGAGCGTCGCGGTGTTGTGGAGCTTCGAGATTTCTGCGACGCGCATGCCTCGCAGCATCAGCTGCTTGGCGAGCCTGTCGCTCTTCATCTGTTTCCGTTTGACGGCTGAAGATCATTCTTGTTGCATTTGCTTGGCGACGGACCTGTGTCTCTTGCTGAGTTTCGTTTTGACGAAGCAGTGTCATGTGTGTTGCAATTGAATTGCGACGGGCTTGCGTTTGCAATTCCGTCTCATTTTGGCGGCGCTGCGCCATCTGTGTTGCATTTGCATTGCGACGGGCTTGTGTTTGTGATTCAGTCTCATTGCCCCGAAGTTGCGTCATATGGGTTGCATTTGAACTGCGACGGGCTTGCGTTTGTGATTCTGTCTCATTTTGACGAAGTTGCGACATGTGCGCTGCATTAGAATTTCGACGTGCTTGCGTCTCATCTGGGGTCTCGTGGCGGCGTGCTTCTCTCATAAATGCTGCCTTTGCATTTCGCCTGATTTGCGTGCGGTCCACGACCTCTTCTGATTCATTGACCAAAGAGTGCGAAAATATTGGTTGATTTTGTTGCCCAATATCCACATCACCGCGAAGTTTAGGTCTCTTATTGAGTCGTGAGTTCTGCTGATCGATTCTTTGCTTTTCGGTGAATATAGCTCGTTCTTCGAGGCTCATCTTTTCGCGTACACGTTTTTTCGAAGCACTTTTTTGACTCAACCTCTGTTGTCTTTGCTCTTGTGTTTCGCGGGCCCGTTCAGCCCGCTTTCGCTCTTTTTCGGTCTGTTTCCGAACACGGGTTGACGGTCCTGGTTCATCAGGGTCGCTGAAGTCCAGTTCTTCAACCGCGTCCGTTAGTGTTGTTCCCGGAAGGGATTCGTTGAGAAAATGAGGTAGTCCGGGAAAATTACTGTTTGGGTTTTCACTTGTAACCTCCTCATGGGTTATTACTTCGCTTTGCTGTTGGTCGTTTTGGAAATCACCCTGACGGGATCCTCCAGCACCAATCATATCTGGATTTGTAAATCCATCGGAAAAGTTCGTCATGGCAAGCATGGGGACCGTAGTGTTTTGGTATACGAATTCCCCCCGAAGGGATCCTTCTCCACCGTTCTTTGTGTAGCTTTGGATTACACCCCGAAAGGCTCCTCCTCCGCCATTCGTGATTTGGGCTTCGAATTCACCCCGAAGGGATCCTTCTCCACCGTTATTTGTGTAGCTTTGGATACCACCCCGAAGGGCTTCTCCTCCACCGTTCGTTTGTTGGGTTCCGAACGGACCCTGATGGGCCCGATCTCCCCCTGTTGAGCGGTACTGGCTCAACCCGTCGCAAATAGTATGCTCAGGGTTGGCACGGCCGAGAAAATGCGTAGAAGCAGCGGCAATGGGTAGGAGGCGCGACGGGTCGTTGACGTGGCGCCCGTCCTTCACGGGGATGACGTCGTGGCCCGTCTCGTCCCCGTCCATCAGCAGCAAGGCGAAGAAGACGAACACGCTCAGCAGGCGCATAACCTTCCACGGCTGTGGTCGGTTATTGTAGGTATCATGTTGGCAGCCAGCTTGATTTATACGTGAGAAGCCATGTAGAACGCGGGCTATTTCCGGATTTAAATTCAAGCTACTCGAATGTCGTGTGGAAATTTGTTTCGGAAGGTGACGGTCATTATGAAAAATTCCGCTATGGTTATGGCTGTGGCTTTGCATATTTTTCACGAATGACAATGAGAAAAAAATGAAAATTGTTCCCTCTATTCCTTTAAATAGGCTATCCACACTTCCGGTGTATCCTAATTTTTTCCTAACAAAGAGGGTGCCCGAAAATTTCACAAAAACCTAAATTTAATGTCGAAAATGGCATAATTTGCAAAATCTGATATGTGTGCAGTCATCTCGGGGCCATTACGCACCTAATGACGTATCATGCATCGTTCAAAATTCATTCCCTATCGAGATATCCTCCGGACACCCTGACGGAAGTTGCATGCAAAGTGGCACACACACACACACTAACACACAGACACTATTTTTTTATATATAGTAGGATCCATGACTTTCCTTAAAAACTAGTGAAATGGGGCTGCTGGCGGTCACTGAAACTAAGTATTATACTGCGCCACAAATACTTGAAACAACAGTTTTTAATCTTATTTTAAGTAAATTCCATCCATTATAACTATTAAGCTTTTAACGATCAATTCACTAAAAAATTAGGTTTGTCAAAGTGTTTCGTGGTTTCGTCAAATAAACGATAGAACAACAAAAAGAACACCAGTCCAAACGCCAAAAATGAGGTTAAAAAAATGTTTCGCAAAATTCCAAGGTAAAGTGGAAGTTGGACGCTTTAATAAACCGTTCTTTTCAGTACATTAGTTTCAAAAGTTTTTGAAGCATTCCATTTCTATCCGACTTTTTATGCTTACCGGCCATTGCGATAGGTCGTTTTTCCACTCGGTCGGCGGAGAGGAGGGTGGGGTTTTGCACATTCTAAAGCGGTACTTTCACATCTTCTTTTTTACGGCCAGTAGTTCCTAGTAGCTTAACGTACGTATCGGAATAGTGTTTTTTTTACTAAAATTTAGCAGTATTCGTGTCAAAACTATCTAAAAAGTTACAAAAAAATGTTAAGAATTCAAAATTCTGGCAGAAAACCCGCCCATTGTGGTCGAAAACCGATCTTTTTTGCATTTTTTGATCAAAATTTGTAACGTTTTTGCGTTTCGGAATAGTAAACTGTTACAAAAAATTGCTCGACATATATTAGCAAAAAATGGATTTTAAAAAAACTAGGGGTTTTCTGTCCCGATGAACCGTGAATCCATTAGGGATACATGGCATTCACGAAGCGTCAAATTCTACATTTTCTTTCGTCTCATAACTGATTTTCAACGAAACATTATTTTTTTTAGTAAATTTTAAGCACATTTTTAGGCTAGCCTTTCTACTTCATTTCCATTTTCTTTCGACTTTTTAAATGGGAAATGACACCACAAATTTATCGCTTTCTTACCCGGGATCCTGACCGCACACGGGGCCCACCGTATACTTGCTGTTGCCCGAGAACAACGCCTCCACCACCGCCTTTTCGCCCTGGAAATGAATTAAACCTACACGCTGCTCAAAGAATGGCCGGTTTCTTTGCACGGGGATTACACAAGTGATTAAAACACTTTTTCCATTCGTATAATTTCTCATCAAAAGCTATGGCTACTCCTTGGTTATTTTCGCATTTAGGATATAAATTTTGGAGATTTACCGTATACGTCGCATCAAAAAGGGGCAGCACTTGCGGTTTGCTGGGACGACGCCGGGGAGGCCGAGTGGACCACGAGTGGAATCGGGCACCGTAGCTCTGAAAAAAGCTTTTAATGTTGTTAATAATTCAGTGGGAAATAATAAATATAAACCGGCGCTTTTGTATTATCGGGGGAGGTTTGCAAAAAAAAACGGAAAAAATGAATATTCGTAGCCGGTGTCAAATTTACAATACTTTAAAGCAACATCTGGGAGCGTTTGAAAACAAATTTTTAGAAATCCTAAACTTCTAAATTGTGACCAAATCTAAACTAAAATTTAAAAACGTTAAAAAAAAGTTATGGAAAAATACAAAAAAAATCGATTTTTTGATCAAAATATGATATTTTGATCTTTAGATAGTTTTTTCACTTAAATTAGAGTTCAATTTGCTAAAAAAACTATTAAAATATTACCATTGCGTCACCAGGAATTTATAGACTCATCAGAGGCTTTTTCCCTTCTTCCCAGCTCCCTTCCCCCCCCCCGAAAATGCAAAAGAACCAATAAAATTACTCAAATCAAAGGCATCAATTGAATAGTGTCCGTATAATCACTACGCTACAAGGATTTTTAATAACATGCTTTTTTTGCATTTGAATATGATAAGATTTTAACGCCACATAAACAATATCGATTCTAGCTCATAATTAATAAAAATGGCGTTTGATTTCTGAAACACTTTTATTTACCGGGCAATTCTCCTCGGTCGTCTGGAAACACCCACTCCCATCGTCGTAGATGCAGCAACCCGTCTGGTTTTCGTCTCTAAAAATAGGTTTCAAAAAAAAATCGCTAATCCGGCAAACTAAAAAATTCTTAATCGAATCGTGTTTCAAGTATTTTCAAAGACCCAAAAAATCCCAGAATAATCAATTGGTGGATGCCCATTGGCGGATTCTTGGCAAATTCATAATTTTAAATCACCCATCACATTCACAGAAAACCCGCAAAAATTAAATCACCACAAAACGAAAAATTTCCAGTTTCATGCAGTAACCATATGATCAAGAATAAACCCAAGAAATACACCAATTTTACCGTATTGGAGAGATGGTCTCTAGAAAATACGATAAATTCTTTTTTTTTGAGCACAACCATCGATATAAAAATTTCATCATATACTTTAGTGGTGATTAGTGCTATTTAATATACTTAATGTTCTTCTTTAGCGGTTACTTATCATTTTATGAGCTAATGGATATCATTTCATTTAGTCGGTTTCTGTTGCTTTCAGAAAGTATGTTTCAAAAATTAGTCATTAGAGAATTGGCATGAATTCTAGAATTAAGCTCCACTACTTCTTTCTAGCAAACAATTCTCGCCACTAAATTTATGATGAATAAATGTTTAATACAAATTGATCATAGTAGTTATGTGCTCTTGGTTAAAAATTCGCGCGACATCGCATATTCTCTCGAATGAATCCCCAACTAGAAAAAACATCGATTTTCTAAGATTTTGAGCTTCGTCAAGTTGATTGGCCAAGGCCCCGATTTTTTTTCCCGCGTATTGCCATACATCTCTATAGCAAAAAATATAACATTTTTAAATAATTTTACACAGCTTTTAGATATAAAAACCTGACAAAAAATTATAGAATTTCGAAAAATTTGGGTTTTTACCCAAAAATGTTTGAAAAAATGGCCAAAAAAAATAGAACTTTTCGATTTTTCAAAACATGTTTCTCACTTCCCAACTAAAACTATTAAAATACATTAGATATTATTTGATTTCCTTCCTGGAGATTTCGTAGTCCGTAAGGAATCCATAAAAAATTTCCTCTGCCTTCCCAACCCCCTTTAAAACCCGGAATTTACCGTCTGTCCTTCTCGATCAGCTTCCAAATGCTCGGCTCCAACCGCATACACGGCGAATATTTTGCGCCGAGCCGTATCAAATTAGCATGACTGGGGCCCAGCCAGAAATTCGCCGGCTCATACATCGACACCATCTTCAGCGTCACCGACGTGTGCATTACTAGCTCTTTTCTGGAATATTGAAGGTTAAATATAAGTTTTAGTGATTTAAATTGTTATTATTTACCTATCATTATCATTTCTTACGAAATAAATATTAAACATTTAAATTATTATTATTATTAAAGTATTTTCAATTAAAAAATCGTTAAAAAGCCCCAGGAGCCACTGCCTAAAAATACGAGAAAATTCAAAAGGTCAAATATTTCAACGAAAAAAAAAGAAATTTTTGTGCCAAAATCGAGGAGGGGGACACGATTTTTTATTATCCAAATTTTTAGTGTTAGGAAGTATATCTAAACTGTATTTGAGAATTCCTAAATTTGTATTACAAAACTACAAAATAGATGTTTCGTCCAACAGATAATTTTCTTTATTTTATCATAGTTTTTCCACCTAAAATGGACTCAATATTAGTAAAAATACTATTGAAATCCTTAATATTCCTTTCTCGGCTTTTAAGAAAAATTACCCCCCCCCGATAATGCAAAAGAACCAAAATCTCTTGTCGACACGATTTTGATAATTAAAAGAGCTAGAATCAATTAAAATTGTAAAAATTCGCAAATCTATTCAAAAACATACCTCTCGACCCTCGAAAAGCCGACGGGGCCGAACCCGTAGAAGAGGACGGACAGCAGGCAGATGATCACCTGCACCGTCGTGATCCAGTAGGTGAAGAACGGGCTGACAAAGCGTTGTTTTTCATGATTGTATCCCTTTTAGGACGTTCAGTTTCTATGCAAAGTTACTCAATCATGACTAGAAAATTGGGTACTATTGAAGTTGGGGGGGGGCAAAATTATTTTTGGGTCATTTTTGGGCTAATTGGTCATTTTTTCTCTGGCTTAGGCTTAGCTTAGCTTAGTATTGGCTTGGCTTAGGCTTAAGCTTGACTTAGGCTAGGCTTAGAACTAGTTTAACCTAGGCTTAGGCCTATGCTTAGCCTAAGCCTTAGTACCAGGTCCGTAGCTTGGCTTCGCCACAGCATCATTGCTTTTGGCTTTGACTTAGCTTTGTTCAAGCTCAATTTAACTGTGCTTCGGCTTAGCTTAGCTTAGGAGTTGAGTATTGCGCTGGATTAGCCACGAAAAACTGACCAATTAGCCCAAAAATGACCCCAAAAAAATTTTGCCCCCAACTTCAATAGTACCGAAAATTGTATATTTCACGGCTGCCTATATCTGCTCCGACCAGCCAAAAATTCCCCCAAAAATTTGAAACATATGGCATGACTCCAAAAACTACAAAATTTTTTTCAAAAAAGGGCTGAATGGGTCACCGTATTTTAATCCTTAAAAATCTATGATTTGCTTCCATTAAAATTCGCCGCAATGTCTAGCTACATATTTTTTTTATGGGAAGCGTATCGCAAGTGTGCATTACCCACTCCGACCAACCCAAGTCCCCCTAAAAACTTTGAAACAAAAAATGTTTCAAAAAATTATTTTGTGCCAAAAACTTTGCCGTTTTTTAATCGATAAATACAGCTCGTACGATACGATAAGGGAGGGACTGGCGAAAAATATCGGTATACTTAATGGTATTACACATTTATCAACCTTCCATTTTCGACGATATCTTATGTAATGCAATGATGAGTAGCGGTTTTCACAAGTTTCCAACGCGTCACAGATTAGCTAATTTAACTATTCCAGTATTCCCGGAAAAATTTGAAACATCTCCAAAACTCCAAAACCGAAAATAATTCTGACTTTTTTACGGTTGGCTCTATGGCTCGCGAAACGGGCTGAAAGGAGCACCGTATTTTGTGTCGATCACATTCTGAAAAGATTCATTTTTTATGACTGAAATTCGCCGCGATGACTAGCTAGCTATTTTTCATGGGAAGGGTGCCGCAAGTGCACATTATCTACTCCGATCAACCAAAATTCCCCTAAAAAATTGAAACACATATCGTTTCAAAAACTAGTTTCATATTTGAAAATAAGAATTTTTCGTTTATACTAGTAAGCGATGACAATATCGGAACCTAGTTAAAAGCATTAAGATCGCAGTAGGGAGGGACGGGCTGAAAGGGCGACTATGTATTCTTATAAATATTTTTATGACTTTGTTTTGGACCCAAAAGTACTCTATTTTGACTAACGACGGGTTCAACCGACCCAGTTTCCTTACAAACGCGACGCATATGTTTCAAAAAATTTATTGTCCCGAAAAATTTTTGGTTTTACAATTCGCTAGTGTGGCCAGGTACAAAATTCAGATCAAAGCATTAGGGTAAGAATGGGAACTTTGCGTTGCGTTGCGCGGGCTCGGACATTAGAAGTGCTTTTAGAAAATACCATTATTTAGAAAACGTTTAGATATTATCGGACACATCGCAAAAAGCGATGATAGAAGTGGCAGGAATGGTTAAAATTGCATCCAGAAAATTCCGAAATTGCCACGGAATTTTTGAATTTGGTGTGTAAATTGGGCTTCAAAGCCCCTTGATAACATTCAAACCTTTTTAAAAGGTATCAATGATCATTTCCCCTACCGTTCATCGGACGTATTGGCGATTTGCTGTCGCAAATTGGCGGGCAGCTCACTTTGCTTTTTCATCTTCCGTAGGCACAACCTGCCGAAGACCCCTGAAAAATAATGTTCCTGAAAAGTAGTAGCTAATTTAAATTCAGATATTCTTCGTACACCATGTCATAATTATTTTTATTCTTATAACTAAGAGGGAAGGAATCAGTAAAAATTGGGACAGATTTTGTTAATGTCGTAAACTCGTCGACGATTACAGTGGTTTTACAGTTTCTAACCAGTAACCTAGTCAAAACATTTAGTTTTTAGGGCAAAAATTTTCGATTAGACATCAAACCTTCCTATGTATTTTAAAGGGAGTATTCTAGCAGTTTTTTTAGATTGTATCTATGCAAATCAACTGATTATTCGTCCCCGGTACTTTACATTATCGGGGGATCATTTTTTACTTGAACTCGATAGGCCCAGAAAAGCGATTTTTTTCATAAGTTTTTCATAGTTTTACAGTTTTTCCAGGTAATATTTAAAGTTTTGAACAAACAAAGTAATTTATTTTTAATTTAAGTAAATATCACCTTCTCCCATCTTTCGCTTGGTTCTGATCTTATTCTGCCGGTTGTCGATAATGCCTGACTTGACGTTCAACAGGATCCTGTCGCCCAATGAGGGGACGGCCTAAAAAATGTTTCATCTATATTGTACCTTGCAAAACATATTTAGTTGCTTAATATACTGAGACGATCGATCCACCTTTTGCTCTTCGATATAATTACTACTGTAATAAACGCCAATTTTTGTAATGTTTTTCATAGTTTTTGATAGCAAAAAGTCGCAAAAATGCTTGACACATTTTTAAAGTTCGAAAGAAAGATCGTTATTTATCAACCAGCCATTCATATCTGAAAAACACTTTATTTCGATTTGAAATGCAAAAAATCGAAAATTCCAGGGTGAAAAGTAAACTTTAGCCAGAAATAATGAGAAATAGACCACCCAATCGTCTAACGTCAGTTTTTGCCAAAAATTAATAACTAGAAAATAAAGGTATCGGTAAATGAAATAAGCAGGATCGAAAGTCCAAAGCGCAAGAAAATTATAAAAATTTCGTACACGCTGAAAAAAGTGTTTCATTTAATTTTATGGTCATTACTTTGACAAACCAGCTAATCGGCTGGTTTACCTGAAAAATAGTTGTTATCAAAAAAAATTCCGCATTTTTGGGAGATATGGCTGCCGTAATAACATATTTTGTGAATCTATTTTCGGGGTTTTTCTCGAAACTCACATTTTTATCGACAATTTGGAAAACTATTCAAAATCGAAATTATCAAGGAAGAATTAAATAATTCGAATAAACAAAATAATCGAAAATTCAACCATTTAACCAAAGAAAATTTACCGGTGGCCTTTCGGTAGGTCCGGGCACGATGTCGATTGGCTCCGGGCGGCCCAACGTCGTTTTTGTCGGCATGGCAAGACGCGAGTCGCCAAACGCTGAATAGCATTGATTAGTAGCTATTATATTTTTAAAGGGGCTCAGAAGTCAAAATTCGTGCGTGCGGGGATTGAAACTACTGGTAAAAAAACGCAAGGGTCACTGCCGAGAAGTGCCAGAAAAGTGATTTCATTGCGAAAAAACGTAAAATATTTGAGAAAATCGGAATTCTTTTTGGGGCGAAAACGACATTTTGAGTGCGCGGCGATTACCTGTCGTAATGCCTTGTAAGGCACCCAATCTCTCGATCTCGGCGATTCTCTGGTCAATTTTCATAAATTAAAAGGTTAGAATAATCAAAATTTGGTGAAGATCCCAAAAATAGCATCAGAATTTTTAAATTCTAGCGTTTTCGCGTCCAAACAGGGGCAAAAGACCATGCGGCGCGGTCGCGTTGCGGTCGCATCTGGCTATTTGCCAGAAATCACAGCAGGGGGCCGTGGACCAGATTTCGGAGCCCCTTTAATGAGATTTTAAATACTAACGAAGCTAATTTGTTACTTATGTAGTTTTTGTAGGAATAAGGCAGTATTAAGCTATTCTCTACGCCGTCTCTTCTATTAAATTATTATAATATAAATTAACGAAAGAATTGAATAAGCAGCACCTGAAAATATTTTGACAAAAAATATCTGAAACATCAAAATTTCTCTGTTGCAACGACTTTTGAAAAATGCATGGAGTAGCTCTAGAAATAGGTACCTATTAATTAACTACAGTAATTATATTCATTTTTATAATTAATTATAAACAATTACGTAAATCATAGCAAACTTCTCGATATTTCTAATTTTTCTATAGCCTCAGCAAACGACATATAGGTTAGCGCAACCCGACACCAAACCCACATTCATCGTGAAACAGATATAAAAACTGCGTTTAAAAATTTTAAGCTTAAATAGCGTCCTCTTAATTTAAATTGGCAATGGCGAACTTGAATTGACCTAATCTAAGGTTAATCTAAAGATTAAAATAAAATTAAATTTTACCTAGCATTTCGCATACGGAGTCGCAAAATACTAGAGAACTTTGGTTGCAGAGAAATTGGAAGTTTTTCGGAACATGTTTTTTCACAAACCACACCTAAGATTTTTTATAGCTAGTGGAATTTTAAAAATCTGCGCGCGCAGAATGACAACAACACTCTACCAACCAAGCTGTTCGCGATATGACGGTGGCGGCACCACGCATAGTGTTCGGAATCTTCGATTCCGCCTTCCAACAGCAGCTCCATAGGTTTCGAGCAGGGCGTCCGTCTCTTTTCCCTCTTCATCCACCGCTGCCACTGGGGGTACGGTAGGTCCAATATCTAGAAGGGGACACGATTCGGACAAGAGGACGCGAAAATATACACATGCATTTAATTATGGGGTAAAATGCGGTAATCTTCTGCAAAAGATAAAACGAAAGAGCACAAAAGTATCTTCAAGCTTTTTTAGCTCTGTTTATTTTGTTCAGGTAACATTTTCTTTCAAAGTAGCGTGGTGCTTTTCTGTTAAGTTTAATCCCTAATTTCTGTCGGGCACTCGCTCTCTCACTTCCTCTTGCTCTCTCTCTCTCTCTCTCTCTCTCTCTCTCTCTCTCTCTCTCTCTCTCTCTCCTCACTCCCCACCAACCATAAGAAACTCGCGGTGGCAGAATACCAAGATGTCGTTCCCTTCGACGATCGGAAGCCGGCCGGGATGTTGATTCGTCTAGAGTAACCGGGTGGCTTCCGGTAATTTGAGCTCATGATGGAATTGGGGAATTTTTAGCGCAATCTCGAAAATATTAAACCAAGTAGGCACCAATTTCGACAGAAAAATTTTTCGAAAATTTTTCAACTAGGCGTTAGTTGCAACCAAGCAATTTAGTGTAAGCCAAAAAATATACATACTTTGAATTCCAGTTAGTAAGTGCTCAACAAAGAAAAGCTCGGATTTAGCGCCACGACGGCCATGAGAAAGCGACAAACATATGCAAATCAATTTTTTTAATCAATAAAAATAAATATTTTGTTACTTTAACCCGAATTAAAGGGCCAGACAAGGGATTCCGAGGGCTGTGCATGGTCATGGAATTCCGGGGATTTTGCCTCGACTCCGACACGCAACGCAACTGGCAGGGAGTGTAATCCATTACGCACTGGACTAGACGCGTTGCGTGTCGCAGCGTGGTGGAATCTTAGGAAAACCTATAGTCATGCCTCTTTACATGTCCCTTTAGCAAGTACAAGTATACGACGTAATACCTCCGCACCCTCGCACTCGCCATTTAAATGTTTTTGAAACGCATTTTTCGAACCGGAAAGACAAAAAACGGTAAACCCACAAACTCTAAATAGGGGCGCTTAGAAAAATTAAACTGTAAAATATAAATATAAAAGTAGCAAAAATGAGAGATGTGATGTACAAATTCTATCTAGAGCAAGACCAATTTAGGCGCTAATAGTCTTGAAATGGAAATCCTGCCCGATTGCTTATCTTTAGAAAAAGACGTTTTGAGTTTTCACCGCAACACACACTTTTTTGGATTGTTAATGACATGAAATTTCACTTCCTTTTGATATTCTTTCACCCAAGTTTCGTTTTTTATTCTTTTTCAATTGACTAGCTGGTTTTTCCACTTTAAACATATTTCAATTTTATTAAAAACAAGCTTAAACCCTTACTATTACGTTATCAGGCATTTCTGGACGTATAAAAATTAGCCCCGCCCCCGATAATGCAAAAGAGCCTCTTTAAACGGAATAAATAAAAACGGTTTTTAGACCATTTATGAACCAACCTGTCGGCTCCTCGCTCCGCGTTTCCAGCCTTTCGAGGTGGCTGTAAAAAATTAAACGTTTTGAACGAAAAGATGGCCTTAAATTTTTCCAAGCTTTAATTTAAATTTAGAGTGTTTTAAATGCCCTAGTAAAATCACTAACGTATATAAAAATGTAAATATTGTTAGCTATGTAAAAAACGCTAATAAAATCTTCCATTTACCTGGATTCCGGCTGGCCCGGGGTGGGCTCCTCCTCGGGCACTTGGTCCAAAACCCGGAGCGGGGCTGAATTGTTTTTTTATTAATAATTTAATGGATTTTTGTTATTTTATCTTACGGTTATTTTACTTTATATTTATATTGAGTTTTTTTGATATTTAATTCATATGTTGTTGATTCCAAAATTTTATCAATTTATCGTCGTTAATTGAGAGGTTTATCAAGTACCAATAGGCAATAATTCGATACTGTGATCACTAACTCTTACTGCAACATACTATTTTTTAACCGGGTGATTGAGGAAAATCAAGTCGTAAAAAATATATTTCCGCACCCGCGAAACGCAACGTGATAATGCTCTTTCCTTGCGTAATCGATTACGACACGTTATGGTTTGCCAAGCGGTTTTTGGGACAAAATTGGCTGTCGGTCGGGCGGGAATTACATGTCGTAATGCCGTATGGATTTGCTATCATAATACCGACAATTCATAACGACGAAATTTCATAATGCCGAATTTATATCATGTAAAAATGGCATAATATCGAAATTCCATTATGCCGACATTTCGGAATTTCTAAATGTCATCACGTCAAGATTATGAATATCCAGGTTTTTGCATAGAATTTGGATTTTTCCGGGCAAAATTGTTTGTAATTGTAATTTCGACATTATTAAATCTCGACATTGTCAAATTTCGACAGTATGAGATTTCGGCATTCTGAATTTCAAGTGCTAGCGATGAGGCCGAGCAAATTAACTCACGTAATTCCGGATTGGCCAGCTGGTCGAAAAACACTTCCCCATCCAACGAACAGATCGATTTTAACGAAGGGGTCGGCGTCGACTAAACAGCAACTATTAATTTAATAGATTTAATATTATTAGACATAGCTTTTCTGCCGTCGAATAGGCGCTATTTATTTTTTGCACAAGTAGAGGGTGAACTAATCTTCACTTGAACGAATTACCTATGCAATTCCTTGAAACATTTTCCTACCAACACCAAGTTTCTCTATTTTATCGTTAATATTTTAATAATGATATGATCCCTCTGCTCATTGAGCTTTTTGGCCCTTTTGCATTATCGGTGGGGTCGGCCCCAAATTTGTCAAACCACCTCAGAAATGCCTAGTAACGGAATGACAAGTATATTTATTTAGTAAAATTAAGCGTTTAGTAAAATTACGCGATGCTTAAAGTGGGACCCCAGCTAAAAAATTTTTGAACTTTTAAAATGCGACATTTTTGTTCGAAAACCCGCCATTTTTCTCGCAAAAACCGATACTTTTGTTTTTTGATTCTAAACATTTCGCTAAGCAACACATGTTTCACCTTCCTCTGATTTAGAATCTGCTAAAAAGGGGGCAATGTCGCTCGGCTTTAGCCATCGAAAATTGATGAGCAATTCGGCAGCGTTTCGAGTTGCGGCGTGCTTATTAGCGGTTTCGTTAGCAAATAACAGAAAGTAATTACAAAAAACCGGATTATTAATAAAGACCATATCAAATTTGAAAACTGACGCAAATTCTCGATAACCTGCATATCGTCAAAATACCGGAAATCAAATTTTCCTTCTCATTAAAAAATGTTTTATCCATTTTCTAGTTTCTCCGTTTTTTTAGTAATTTAATTCCGTCGAAAACAAACCGTTCGCAGCGCCACGGGTCGATGCGAGGCAAAATATTCGCGGCTGCCGTGGTAGATGTTTTTCTGAAATTTCATATTAAACTTTTATTAAATTGATTTAATAATAAAACAGGTTTATCATGAATTTATATCAGTCATGAATCCTACTATATATAAAAAATAGTGTTTGTGTGTGTGTGTGTGTGTGTGTGTGTGTGTGTGTGTGTGTGTGTGTGTGTGTGTGTGCCACTTTGCATACAACTTCCGTCAGGGTGTCCGGAGGATATCTCGAGAGAGGATGGGCTTGAGGAGGTGCTTGATACGTCATTATATGCGTAATGGGCTGGAGATGACTGCACACATAGCAGATTTTGTAAAATATGTTATTTTCGACATTAAAATTAAGTTTTTCGTAAAAATTCGGCCACCCACTTTGTTAGGACAAAATTAACATACGCCGGAAGTTGCAGTAGCCTATATAAAGGCCCGAAGGGAGCGTTTTTCAGTTTTTTGTCATCGGAATTGGGGCAAAATTATGCAAAACGAAGAACATCATAGGGTTAGACGGGGGCCAGGGTTGAAAAGTCGCGAAGCGAAAAATAAAATAAAATTAGCAGGCTCTAAAAGTTAATTTAATAAATGCATACCTTTACGGCTGACAGGGGGACGCATTGGGATTCAGCCATAGCCTCAGAAAGGCTACCGCCAATTGGAATGACCTGAAAAATTAATTATTCAAGGAAAATTTATTTGTAAGACAATTTATTAACATTTCCGGTTCCAATTAGGTACTACCCACTAACAAGGAGCGTCCTTTTGGTGTCATCGGCAAAATGATTCGAGACCCAGCTCATTCGATAGAGAATTGAATTCTGAACAAGACTGTGTTTTTGATTTTTGCGGAATGGCTGTCCTTGATTTTATAGAATTAAAAAACCAAGCGCGAAACCCTAACAACTCGCTCCCCAAGCACCAATGTATGGGCGTCGCCGGCAGCTTTTTAATTTTATAAAATCAGGGACAGCCATTCCGCAAAAATGAACAACACAGTCTTGTTCAGAATTCAATTCTCTATCGAATGAGCTGGGTCTCGAATCATTTTGCCGAGGACACCAAAAGGACACTCCTTGTAAATAGTTAGCTATTTATTTGTAATTTTTCGTTTTTTGCTACATTTTTTTAGCGTTGGTAATCTTTTCCTGATTTCGAAATCTTCATTGTTTTCTAAAAAAGGCCTATTGATTCAATTTATGCAAATTTGCAGTCCTGGAGACATTCAGCAGGCCATGCCAAATACCGACAGCAACACACCGACATCCATAATGCGGACAGACAAATCGCGAAAGTCAAAATCACGACGGCCAAAATCCCCGAAAACAAAAATACTGACTGCCACACACTGCGGCAACCAAAATACCGACAGTGAAATTCCGACACGATATAAGTTAGTGGTAAGACCGTACACACGACATTTTTTCTGTTCAGGATTTTTGCTGTCTGCCGTTGACTGTCGGCATTTTGGTTGTAGAGATGTTGTATGTCGGGTTTTTTTGGACCACCAGGATTTTGGCTGTCGGAATTTTGCCATTTACGCCTGTCGGAATTTCGGCTGTCGGTATGTCGCAGGTCGGCATTTTGTTTGTGCGGATTTTGTCTGCCGCGATTTGGCTATTTTCGCTTGTCGAAGTTTTGGATGTCGGGATTTTAGCTGTCGGTATTTTGGCCTGCCATGGTTCTGACGGGATTATGGTGTCCCCGTTACCGTATCCAGACTGCTCGGCCCCATCGGCAATAAACTCGGCCGGGTCGTCGTCACCTCCGGATCCCCTCCAATATGTTGTGTGGTGGCCAGGCCGGTTATCTGGAAAAAAGGTGTTTCAGGTTATTTTAAGGATCGGCCCGTTAGAAATAAAATAATTCATTGTAACTGGGTCCCGGTATTTTCAAGGTTGCAAAATTAACAATTGCGGAAAGAGCTAGTTAAGACCGTTTCGCCCTTTGACACCCTTCTGAAAATAACCCCGAGAATCTCATGCAGAAAAGGCTTTTCAAAATGATTGCTAAAGAACGCTGTATCATTGTCATTTGGGTGCAGAACGTCGTTAAATACGAGCCGGCCATTCCCAAAAAAAAAGCATGTTGCAGGTTTTTCTATGCATCAGCGATCTCTATATAAAATAATTTGGCTGTTGTTCATGACTTTCATGACTTTCGAGGCTGCAAAATTCCGCTAACGCAAAGCACATGATTACCGTGAATGGTTTGCGCTTTGGATTTTATTGAGGCGAAACACATTTTTGTTAACCAAACTTTTTTATTTTTTACTCAATAATTTCTGCTAGTTTGCCGAGAGAGGCTGAATAAACAAAAAAATATGAATTTCAGGCGTAGAATTGCGTTATCTATACACGGTTCATCATGGCCCTGATGATTCTCGTCAGCATGATTATAATTTGGGGAGCCTCTGAATACTATTTTTTGCCTTTTCCAAATTTTAGCAAATTTTTAGGAAAATGTGTTTTATAAAAATGAATATGGGAAACACGAGCTGGACAGTCAATTCTTGAAAAACGCTACCTCAACGTCGGCCCCTGACTCGAAGCTATCCTGGCCGGCGAAAAAACGGACCTGGGCTGGAATCGTGCCGGAAGCGCCGCCCGGTAGTGATGCGCCGTGTGCTGAAAATCAAAAGTCAGATCAAAGCAAATCAAATTATTAAGCGGATCGGGTCATAATCGATAAAACATTGGAAGCGCGCCAAAATTGGTAATATTTTTAGGGAAGTTTAAATTTTTTAATTTATTTCAAGAATTTAAGGGTAAGTTTAACTTAAGTTTAATTTTTTAAAATTTCGGCTTAAAAGCATGATTAAAAAGGTTCGGCTTTATAACGCTAGACGTTTTTGCAGATAACTGTTTTATCCTAGTAGGTATTACACGATTCGCAAATCGGGCTAATGCAACTTTCTTTTAAGAAAATAGCATTTATAAAATTACAAAGAATTACAAAAATCATATTATAGAGGGGCAAGTTTTTGTTGGTAAAACCATTTGCAGATGAATGTTTTAGTCTAGTCAAGTATTGGGCAATTTGTGAATTGAACTAATCCGATGACTCGAATTCCAATAAAATATTTTCTTTGTAACATTTTTGTAGCGGATAGGAAGCCACCGATTTTCGCAAAAAAATAGTTACTTGATTTTTTGCACGGTTTAATCCAGTGTTTAATAGATTTTTCCAGGCCACTAAATTACGAAAAAAATTTTGAAACGCACAAAGTTTATCCTACTATATATAAAAAAATAGTGTGTGTGTGTGTGTGTGTGCATTTGATGCAACTTCCGTCCGATGTTCCAGTCGTATCTCAATAGGCGAGGAAGTTAAGGGTACGTATGATACGTCATTAGGTGCGTAATGGTCATGACACGACTGCACGCATATGAGATTTTTAAAAACCAGCTGTTTTCGATATTAAAATTAAGTTTTTGTGAAAATCTCGCTCGGCCTCTTTGTTAGGAATCAATTTGCATGCGCCGGAAGTGGGGGTAGCCTATATAATAGGGGAGAGGACGCGCTTTTCATTTTTCTGCACAGGAATTCGGGTGTTTATGCAAAGTGATAAAGTAAAAGGGTAAGACGGGGCCAGGGTTGAAAAGTCGCGAAGCGGCTTTTCAACCCTGGTAATGATTAAATTTAGTCTGGTTAGGTGATGCCCGATCTTTTTAATTAACGAAATTTTCGATTTTATTAAATTTCACCCCGACTCCTCAATTGCGGCCGATTGCCTGGACCTAATTAGCGTTGATGCACCAATGCCGTTGAAACATATTTTTTTTGTAAAATGTTTAAGCTGGCGTTTCCAACTTTTTCAAACATGTAATTTTTAAAAGCTAGTGCTGACATTTAATTGATTTTTCCTAGCTACAAATTACACATAAAAACCCTGAAACTCACAAATTCTACGGTAAAAAAAATTGAGCAAATATTGGGTATCGGGGGCGTATTTATTTGACGCGCTCGCAGCAAGGCTGCAGATAACGAATCGGCATACAGGAATTGACCAGGTTGGGACACGAATTCCCTTCCTCAAATGATCTCTGCAGTGACACCCCTTCTCCCTTGCCCCTGTGGCCATTTTCGAAAATCTTCGACCCATTCTGACCCCCCCGATCGCCTGGATGATGATGAAATCTAGCCCTACGTAAGGGAACCCTCAGACCGCTTAGTTACTGTAACCAAAATTTGCATACCTCGCCGTAAAAATAATATTTTATCAAAAAATCACCTTTATTTTTATTATTTCTTTATTGACCGCTGTCAAAACCCAGCTCACAAATTATGCTAAAATTTCAAAGACTATTATTTGGCTATAAACATGTTCCTACAAAAATCAATAAAAATTGTCTCGTGCTTGCGCTAAAAGTTGATCGAAGGCCTGAAAAAAAAGCCTGAATAATTGAGGGCTCGAGGAAAATTAATAACCCTAAAATTGGAACATTAAGGCCTAAAAATATATAACAATCCTGAAGTACTGTAAAATTGTAAACCTGTAAAATTCGAAAAGTAATGTTTCAAGTCTCTATATGCCTAAGAAATCCAAACTTACAATACTGAGACTCAAGATGATGTTGGTCATTTCAACTAGAAGAATGGGAGAGAGAGAGCGAGAGAGCGCGAGAGAGAGAGACAGAGGGACAGACTCCGCTACTAACCAGCCCCTTTTAAAGTTCAAAATTCCCCACCTGGTATCCGGTCAAAGTCAATTACACTTCTCACGACATCCGTGTCGATTTGCTGCGGGTTGAAGCTGGTCAGGAATTTGGCCGATTGCTCCTTTTTCATCCACGAGGCCAGGGAACCGCTGCAATCAATGTTTTGGGCTTCTTTTCTGTCCGTATCCCTTTAAATTATCCGTCCGAACACGAAGAGCACGATAACCGTGACGCGGTTTTTCAACCCTGGTATTAATTAAAAAATAAGGTACCTTCGAAAAAATGAACGCAACGAGTTGCTGACGATGCTCATCGCCGGCGGCTTCTTGGCGCACGGGTTGAAGCTGCCGATGGCTGTCCCGGAAATTCCGGCCCGCATCCCGGCCTCGTCATCCAGCGAATACTAAAATTCACTTAATCTACGCTCAACATATCACTTACCGCTCCGGCCTCCGGACTGGTGGGCGGTAGCGCGTGCTCGGGCGTGTTCACGATCGACCCCTCTGCCAGCATCTTCTCATCGGGTTTGATCCCGTACTTCCGGTTGATGCGCTGAAATTCGAGCAATTATAGGTATTTTAACGTTTTTTTCTTGCGAAAAAGAAGGTTTTTAAAGGAGTGCGTTTTTTGAAAGGTTTCGAAGATTAGAATTACTTTTATAAGCTTAAATTGATTTTGGAAGAATAGAATAGCTTTAGATCATCCCGTTAAAAAAATTTGTTTTGCCTCGAGTCAAACTTCAATCGAGAAAAATTAAGATAATCGGTAGGGTAAAATTCCGCTTTGGGACGCTTACAAGTTTTTACAAGACAAAAACGTGGATTTGAAGGGATTTTTGACAGATTTCGAAGCGCGTCGAATCGAATGACGATCAAAATCTAGTTTATTTCCGGATTCCTTGCGTCAAAAGCTGGCTAACCCGTACGCTTTTAACTATACCGACATCGAAATCCTATGAAAATCTACGAAAACACTCTGATTTCGTACGACAAGAATTACCAAACTCTCCCCTAGCTACCACTTTCGTATACTTTCGATTCAAAACCCCCGAAGACAGGAGCTGCAAAAAGGGCAAGCCAGCAGGGGTCATTTCAGAACGGAAACCAGATCTATAAAAAAAGCGAAATCGGCAAGACAAAAACGATGGTTCCATTGAATGGCAGATAAAAGGCGCTCCTACCCATCCAAAGCCGTGAAACATTCTAAATAAATTTTCCAGATTTTTTGGTATTTGAACGTTTTTACATTTAGGAATAGTAAAAAAAACAGTGCACAAAATTGGGTCATATGGACAACGTATCTGGCGCCCCCCCGATAATGTTAAAGCACCGCCGAGTCATTTCACTCACCCTGATCCGCTTGCGCCACCACATCTGCTGCTCTTCCTCGATCTGCTCCTGCCGCTTCATCTCCACCTCCTCGGCCGTCTCCTCCTCATTCGCCACCCCGGTGTGGATTCCCACAAAGCGAGCCACCGGGTCGATCACGTTTTCGCGAATGCTAAAGGTATCAAAATCTTTAAAAAAGGGAACACACGTACCCGGAAAACATGGATATGACGCCGGCGTACTTGGCCCAAAAACTGTTGCTAATGAATTTCCCCCTTGCGCGCGCGTTGAGAGGAGCAACCCCGGCGTGTTTATTCTACCGCTGTTTGCTTTCGCTTTCGAGAACGGTTATATCGTTCGGAAAGTTCCGCTTTTAATTAGGGATCGTTTGACGTTGCTTTCGCATCATCGGGGGGATATCACTGTTTTTCTAGGATCTAATTTTCAAATATCAATAGTGGAGGTCTTCTAAACGTTTTTTTTACTATCCCTAAACGTCAAACTTCCCAAATTTTGATTTAAAAAATATCAAAAATCGCTTTTTCGACCAAAAATGCCTGTTTTATACCACATTGCGCCTTTATCAAGCTTTTTCAAAGGGTTTAGATAGTTTTCCAGTAGAAATATAGTGGAATTTTACTGAACTGACTATTAAAAAACTTCCCCCGAAAGTTACTAGACATTTCTGAACATACAAAAAAAATCGCGCCCCCTCAATAATCCTACTATATATAAAAAGATAGTGTCTGTGTGTGTGTGCATTTGCATGCAACTTCCGTGAGGATGTTCCGCACCTACAGCCTCAGGGAAGCATTTTTTCGGTAGTGAAGAAACGTAATTAGGTAAGGAACGGTCCGGAATCGACTGCACGCACATAAAATCTTTGAAAAATTGCTATTTTCGCTATTAAAAACAAATTTTTGTAAAATTCTCGCCCATCCTCTTTGTTAGGGATCAATTAGCATAAGCCGGAAGTCGGATGCCTATATAAAGGCAGAGGAGCCGTTTTTCACTTTTTCCTGATAGATTTGGGAAGAAGCATGCAAATTGAAGACTTTCATCGGTCCTAGACGGGGCCAGGGTTGAAAAGCCGCGAAGCGGTTTCTCAACCCTGGTGTGAAAGAAAACAGTAAAATACGTAATTTTTGGCCTTTTTTAGTGACACCTACCTCAAAGCGCGTGTCAACACAGGCCGGCTAGCTGCAGGGGTCTGCACGGATTGCTGGCTGTAATGCCCGCCGGAATTGTACTAAAAACTGAATTTTTGACATCTATACCACTTTTTACCTTTTGACGAGCCCTTGTTGGAGAGCTTTCCCCGGCTCGACCACCCCGCCGCCGCTTTTTCTTTAATATTTTGGCGCAGCGAATCGACGCGTTTCGTCCGCTCGTTCAATTCGTCCTAAATTGCTTGATCCTTTGTATTTATTGTCATGCTTTTTCGCCAACGCCCGAGCTCGAATTACTCACATCATCTTCCCGCTCTCTCCCCTCATTCTCTGAAACATTTCTCTGGCGCTGCAGGTTGCTATTTTTGCGCATCAAGCCTGAATTCGTGATTTCAAATGCAAAATTAGTTTCAATTCATTGTCAGAAGTTTTTCAAACAATTTAGCAAAGATCAACCGATAGCGGTTCTTTTCTCCTCACTTCCACGGGTTATTTTCTCGAACATAATCTTTATTTACCGGTAATAGTAGCACAGGAGATCACAAAAGATAAGTATACCAAATAAAAACAATCTAAAATCATTCACAATCTATTCGTCATCCCATCGCGGCTTTTTCACGTCGGGCGTCGACATAAAGCTGGACATCATCATCGACTCCATATCGTCGAGGCTCATCTCTGCGAATTCTAAAAATAATAATTCATTTAAACAAATAAAACGAGGTGTACCATTGTGTTTTCTCGCCTCAGCTGCTTCTTCCGACTCTTCTTGTGAAGACGTGTCTTTCTTCTCAGTTGCCGCCGGTTTTTGTATCCATTTGCAGGATATTTCGCTGTCACCGGCTCCTAAAAGAAAAATTATTGGTTTTACATTTCAAAAACCAACCTGTTTCTGTCTCAGCACCCCACGCATTGACGCCCTCCTGGAAAACGATCAGCGCGCTTCGTTTCCCCTTTTTCTCCGGCAGCACGAGAATCTCGTCGATGTGGCCGTACTAAAAATACACTTTTATAAAATCAATAAAACCTAAAGTACCTCTGCAAACAATATCCGAAGGGCCGTCTCGTCGTAGTCCATATTTTCCTTGACCTTCCAGGCTGCCTTCAGTTTTGGCGCCGGGTCTGGAAGAAAATAGGGCTTTTAAAACATTTTCCGGTAGCCTACCATTTTGCTCATGATGCGGCTGCGGGGCGTGGCTCTTTATTCTTTCATCCTGCGCTCGAATCTCGGCCTCCACCTCAGCTTCCCATTTTTTGCGTAAGCTCTCGGCCTCGGCGCGCGCTTGCATTTCCTAAAAAAAGGAGAATTTAACCACAAAACATTTCACTTACATGTTCCTTTCTGAGCTTCGCCTTGTACCGTTCATCGCTTTCTTTCGCGCTATGCGAAGGCGTATAATGCTTTCCTCGTTCGGCAAACTCCTTCTCTCGCCGCTCCAAATCGTCCATAAATCTAAAACAAAGCAAATTTTTCAAGATTAGCAAAGAAATCGTACCGTTTTCGATCCCCATCCGCCTTTTCTCGCCTCTCCTTCTGCTTGGCTTCTTGGTTGGCCTTTCTTTTCGCCTGATGCTCGTACTCGTCGCGCTTTTCCTTGTCCAGCAAAATGTCAACCGCCTTCTTCGCCTCGATGAAACGACGATTGGCTAAAACGTATGTTTCAAAAAACCCAAAGAAATATCCAACCTTCCTCAACCCTATCCGGGTTCTTGTCAGGATGCCATTTGAGGCACAGCACCTTGTAGGCCTTCTGTATCTCCTTCTCCGTGCAGCCAATGTGCAGCCCGAGCACGTGGTATGGGTTGAACGACATGTTGAAGCCTGTAAAACGAAAATTACAGTTTAGAATGTAAAGAAATCTGGGTTTGTGATTTTCTAAAAGGTTGCCGGCGGTTTCCGGAGGCGATAAGGACCGCCTGAAAAGGATAAAAGTATTAAAATATACAAAATATGACAAGAACAACAAAAAGAAGATATTTTCAAAAGAAATTTTTTCGAATTGTGTTGACGAATCGAAGAGATAACGTTTCGAAAGTTGGCTCTGAGATTTTCCTCACCGGCCCCAACGCAACACTCCTATCCACGCACCTCTGACAGCTTGAAAATAAAAGAAACCCGGACCGGTAAGGACTTGTTTTTTTTTTGTAAAAGTTTATAATTTTTAAAGTTTAAAGTTTTAATTTTAAGTTTCAATTTCAGATGTCCATCTTCCTAATCGTGCTCATCGCAATTGTCACGGCCCTCGTGCTCGGCTCGTTCTACGTGTGGTACCTCGTCCGGCACTCGCGCAATTCGACAAGAAAACGAAAAATGGTGGGGGTTTTCAAGGTTTTTGAAGGAATATTGATTTCAGGTGCGAACGCTAGCCGTGATGGGCTCCGGCGGGCATACAACGGAAATGTGCTGCGTGCTCGAGAACCTCTCCTCCGCCTACAAGGAGTTTTCCTTGGTCATCGCCGACACCGATCAGATTAGCCAGGGAAAAGTGGGTTGTATGCACCCTTTCTATTTCCATTTCAAGTTACAGGTGGAGGAGCTGGCGAAATTCAAGGAGAACTCGAGGATCGAATGGATTCCGCGAAGTCGAGAAGTTGGCCAAAGTTACATCACGTCGGTTTTCACGACGTTGCGGGCCTTTTACTATTCGCTGGCGGTCGTGTGGAGGTTTAGGTGAGTGATTTGTTCGAAAATGTTTAAAAAGGACCAAAACTGGAAAAACGTTAAGTTTAGTTCACTTTTTGCATTTTGTTGGACCGTAGAAAAAACACATAGCAAACCTCGTAAAAAAGCTTACAAGCTTGTTAGAAGCGCTTAGAAATTGTTTTACTATTCCTAAGCGTGAAAAGTTAACAAAAAGGAGGTACAGTTCTCGATTCGTCGGCAAAATATGACAAGTTTTTGACCATAATTTTCACTTCTTCTAAAGTTTTTGAAGGTTTTTAGATAGTTTCTGATGCAATATAGTTAAATTTTGCTAAAAACACCATTAAAACACTTCCTATTAGGTTGCTAGACATTTATAGACTTGTACACAAAAATCGGTGCTCCCCTATGATGCGAAAGAACCAGAAATTCACCTTGATCCCCTGCTAAACCGGAAGCGCCAAGCTTTTTACGACTACTTGAATCGAAGAAAGTTAAATTTTTTCAGCCCCGACCTCGTCCTGACCAACGGCCCCGGCACGTGCATACCAATCTGCGTGGCCGCCGCCCTATTCGACATCTTCCGCCTTCGCGACACAACGATCGTGTTCGTCGAATCGATCTGTCGCGTCCAATCCCTATCACTAACCGGCGCCATCCTCTACTTTTCCGGCCTCGCCGATGATGTGATCGTCCACTGGCCCGACTTGAAGAAAAAGTACAGTCGTGTGGTCATTTTGAATGAAATCCCCGATAAGTTCACCTAACCTGATATTTTTCTTGATTTCGCCCACTTCCCGGTTTTTGTGTGATACGGGTCGCTTTTTCTTGCCTTTTTGTACATACGACGTGTAATAATAAATTATAAGCAGTTGATAAGATTGTACGGATTTCGGAGCTGGTTTATGCCAGAAAAGCATTATTTTTGCTATATCGATAAATTATAAGTGGTTAATAATATTTTATAGATTTTGTAGCTAGATTTCTCAGGAAACTAAGGTAGTTTTTCTTACGTTCTCCATGTGCAATTGAAAATTGCTCTAACGTGAAATTAAAAGCGGTTAATAAGATTGTATAAATTTTTGTAGCGTTTTTTCTTAGCTTTTTATAGACATCTCAAAAAAAATTTGGTACTGATCATTTTCATTTCAGGGGCTCTCTTTGAGCCACTAGATGAGCCGGGACGCCAATTTCATCAAGAAAGGTCTCCCGTTTTTCGCGATCCTCCTCGGCGGCGCCTACGGACTTCACTTTTTCCAGGCACACTTTGCGGTTTTCACCTTCAAAAGATTCTTTAGGAGGTCCGCTACGAGTTCCGGCAGGTGAAGAAGGAGGACGACAACCTCGAGAAACTCGTGAGATCGTTCTTTGATTCTAGAACCACTTTTAGCACCGAGATCTCGAGAAGAAGGGTATCCAGTTCAAGCCGAAATCCGTGGAGGAGATTTACAAGGTTTGGAGAGTAATTTGTGTGTTTTTAATTTTCTTTTAGGAGGTTGCCGCTGAAGACACCGACAACTGGGCCAACATCCGCGGCCCGCACGAGAACGAGGACAACAGCGAGTACTTCAAGATCCAGTAAGATTCTGGCGATTGAATGTATCCGTTTTTGTTTAGAAAAGAGCAACGCGAGCTCCGTGAAAAGGCGCGCAAGGACAAGCTCGCCCTGCTGAAGTTGAACTAGACCTATGGCCGAGCAACTTCCCCCGGAGGACAATAACAATCGGTAGAATTCTTGTTGTAATTTCTTATTTTGTGATTTAGTGGTGAATTCGTTGACCCTGGCGACAACCCGCCTGAGCCGACGCTTGGAATCCCGAGAAACAATTCGTTGTCTGGTAAGCTTCGGCCTAAAAAATGAGGCTCAATTTTTGCAGCTTCGATCCGGGCCGAGCGCGGATCGCCAATTCCCGAGTCCCTAGACGGGTTCTCGATCCCGGATACCCCGGCTAGTAGCAGCGCTGCTCAACTGCCCGGTCCCGTGCCGCCAGCACCGATACCCGACCCGTTTCAAGCGGTAGCTTGATCTTTTTGAATGACTGAACTTTGTTTAGTCTCCAAGCTCATCCCTTTCCGGCCAGCCGCCCTCACACGCAGCCAGCTTTGCCAGGGCCGCGCATCCGCTCGACCCACAAGCACAGGCATAGCTGAATATCGGAATATTCGTACTTCGAGCGTATAAAAACTCCTCTTTCTTACAAAATACTCGACGAAGTGCATTTTCGTATACCCATTTTTCAGCTAACGATATTTCCTTAGGTCAGAAATAGCTATGAAAATTCTGAGATTCTACCGATCCCAGGACGTGTGATTTGGTCTTTTTTAGGTAGCTGACCAGCAGGCGTTGGCCGGTCTCGTGGAGCTCGGATTCGACGAGTGGACCGCTAATTTGGCCCTTTTGCGTACCGGAAACGCGGGAATCGAGACGGCTGTCACCTGGATTGTTGAGAGGTGTTTATTATTGTTTTTATTGCATGGAATTTTTTAAATTCTTTTTTCACGAATTTAATCACTGAATTCAGGAGCAACGACAGCGACTTCGACTCGGGCAGCTCGGACGACGAAGACGAGGCTGACGAGGGCCGCGAACAACCCGCAGGCATGGGAGGTTCGACAATTTTCAAATTCTTTGCTAACCTCTTGTTTTAGCCTCTCAATCAACCGGCGAAGGCGCCGGCCCAAGCAATGCCGTGGGTTTTGACGTGATCAAGGCGTTGGCGAAGAGTGCGTTTTCCTTGGCTGATTCTATCGTGATTTAGATGCCCGCACCCACAAGATGGTCTTTGTCGCCAATATGAGCCTGAAGATGGGCGCCGGGAAATTGGCCGCTCAGGTGGGCCATGCGTGCTTGGCCGTCTACCAGAAGGCCGTCTCCACCGAGGAGGGCCGTGCGGGCATCCAGAGCTGGGAACGGATGGGAGCTGTAAGCCTTTCTTTTCGGGCCATAAATTGACTCTGCTGCAGGTAAAAGTGGTGCTGAAGGGCGAGAGCACGGAGCAGCTGATGGAACTGTTGAAGCAGGCGAAGGAAGTGGTCAGTTGAGCTTTCTAACCTATTTTTTCGATGTGCTATCCTAGTCCGAAATCATAATGCCGAAATTCAGAATATCGACATTTTATTTGAATAGGCTTCGCGGGGTTTTCCGTGAAATTAACTTATTTAAATGGCGACATTTTGGAAGTATCCTATTTTTTTCAGGGTTGCTCGGCATACCTTGTCGCTGACGCCGGCTACACGCAGATTCCGGCCGGTTCGCGGACGGTGCTCGGTGTGTTCGGCCCGAAGGAAGCCGTCGATTCGGTGTGCGGCCAGCTGAAACTTCTCTGAGCCCCGGTTCGACTTCTCAATCTCGTTGTCTGACTATTGTGAACTTTTATATACTTTAGTTGTGCGACGTACTGTATCGTTTTCGTTTTAGAGGTTGTTGATCACCAGACCGAATAAAGTGTTTTTATATGGTGGCTAACATCCCTTTGGCGTCTCCGGCTGTCACCACTCACATCAGCTACCCTCCGTCTAATTTGCCGGATGACGGGCGTCGAGGAGCGAGTAAATGTCGATGTGGGGCAAAACGTTACTAGAGGGTTTTTTAATTCGACGCGTGTTTTATTAATTCGTCTTGGTCTTATTGTTTTCTCAGGCTTAGGTCAGGTTTCTTTTCGGCATAGAATGATAGAATCGCCCTTTTCACTAATATTTTGGGCTCTTTCGCATTATCGGGGGTGGCGGGGAGGTCACCTTGGTCCTGATGATCTAATTTTTCAAATAGAAGTAGTGGAATTGTTTCTAAATGGTTTTTACTAGTTCTAAACGAGAAAACTACAAAATTTTATCAAAAAAAAATGCCAAAAAATATATTTTTTCGACGAAAATGGCTGATTTTGTAGTTTTGAGATAGTTTTTCTACCCGAAATATAGTGTTAGTTTTGTGAAAATGAAAACCTTCATTATTAAAACCTTCATTTTTACACTTTTTTACAACTTTACTAAAAAGTTCGTTCCCTTCGCCCGAAAATGCGAAAGCACCGTTTTTGAAAATCATTTTTAATGAAAAGTAAAAAATATTTTCGTTAAAATCTGTGCTGCTCCGTGTCTCTGATTCATCTAGTCCAGACTTGGCCATGTTTTGCACTTTTACGTTTTCTAGGCGAGCAGGTGGTCCCGCGGGGGAAGAGGGGGAAGACGAGGAAAACAAGTCGAGTTTGGCTGTCTGTCAGTCTGTCCGTTCGAGTAAAGAGCGCGTATGAGGGTGGAAAGGAAGTGTGTTTCGGGTGCACACGTCGTGCCAGGGTCCGGGGATTCCCCCTACGAACACACTACCCGCAAAAAGTGGCCCCGCAGGTCAAAAGTCTGCCTTTTTTTTCTTTGGCTCCCGGCCTATCTTAATTTTCCAAGCTAGCAGAGATTCTTGCGGAGAGCGAGCGAGGAGAGAGAGAGTGAGAGAGAGCGTGAGAGAGAGAGAGCGAGAGAGAGATAAAGACGCCAGAAATGCAAATATACCCTTAGGGCATCAGTTATCAACACGATACCTTTTCCGAGGTCACACCTCGATCGTGGGGATGCCACTTAATTTTCGGGCAATTTTTGGTCCAAGTCAGAACGGTCGATTAATAACCTGAATACCACTGCCACGTGCCACATCGATAAAACATATATTTGGTACATTTTTTATTTTTTCCAATTTTTATGAACGAATTTACACACTATGGAAAAGGCTATTTATATATTTTTTTGCCTCTAGATATTTTCTTGTGAATTTCCAACCGGAATCTCAGCTAGCTGTTAGAGTCGTTTCCTTCGCCTGATTCGCAAGGTTTAGGATTTAGAATGTCCTTGAGTTTGTAAAACATTTTTTTGGAACTGAGGCCATTTTCTATTTATTTATCTGGAAGCTATGTAATTATGCAGTTATCGAACGGAACTATAAGAAGAGAATTTTTCGAAAACCGGAAAACTCATTAAGGAAAGCTAGGTAAATCAAAGTTGACCCGATCAGAAAAAGGGTTTCATTTACGGCTGATACACTTGAATCTTAAAAACTTGCATTGTCTTATCCATTGGCACAGATATCGTGGTTGCCACACATTAAAAATCAAAGTTTCATGTTAATATCCTATAGTAATTGAATTTAAATTAGCCAATTCCCGGTGTTGAAAAATTTACTCCCATGTGGTTAAAATATTTAATTTGCCCTTGATATCTACCAACCTACCAGTTTATGTTATTAATTTTCTTAAAACAATTTTCTTAAATAATCTAACTTTCCATTTATATTCGTAAGCAGCGGGACTGAAATTCAGTGGTTTTTCGCTAAAGATTGAACCGCTAAAAATTCAGGTTAGAAAAAATCGAATATTAACTTCCTTTGTTTAAAATTCAGGGTACAAAAACATGTTTCTTGGCAGAAGGACAGGCTCTATTTTTGAGATGCGCAATTCGCGACAATCATGTTGACATCCCGAATCCCCAAACGCAACAACTTAAATCGAATCAATTAATTTGCCTTTTTCATCAATTTTCATAATTTTACAGTTTACCCCCGCGGCCCTTCCTTTATATCTTCACCCCCCCCCCCCCCAACCCCAAATTTAAATTTATTCAATTAAAGAATTTAATTGTTTTTTTTAAGAAAGTTACAGCAAGTATGTATCGCTAAAATATCCTTGCCTAGTTCCTATTCAGTGGTTCTGAAGGGCTTCTAATAACATTTTTAAATCCGTGTACTCGATTTGCTTCTTAATTTTTCGTGATTGTATTCACCGGCTTTCCTTGTATTTTGGGCTCGAAAAACCACGTTGTTTTTCTGCAGCTTCTGAATGATAGAGTTATGTTTCATAACCTTAGGATATTCCAAATTTTCTAGCACTTTATTCTCCTTCTTCATGTTCTTCTTTGCGATTTTACTGGAAGTTTTGCACGTACTCGGCGTTTGCGTATCTAAGAGAAAAAATGTAGCTGTACCGCGGCAGTTGGCCAAGCCAATTGGGTAATTTAGCGCCTTACCGAATCGAATTAAATTCCAACAAAATGTATCGCTTAATGTTGGTGTTCCAAGTTTTGGCTGGCTAATAAATACCTTGGTTGCTATCATTTCGGCCTGAACTTTTTAAAATTATATTCGGCTCGGCTCTTTTCTAAATTCAAAAAATACGTTTCGTCGCCAGAGGCCATTCTTTATTTTTTTTGAGATGCGCAATTTGCAAGCGGCTGTTGCTGACATTCCGAGTCAACAAGCAACAAGTTGAATCGAATCAATTAATTCTTCGTAAGATTGCACTTTTATAAAATTTAGAGAATGTATGTTTCGTTAAAATATCATCAACAGCATTTGTGGATACTATTAATTCCAGTCGCTGTAATATCCCCGACCTCAGTTAATAGAACCTTTTGCTCAATTTGCCTCAGAATTGTTCGTGATTACCTCCCCTTTCCTTTTAGTTGGTAACACGAATCTTTCTCGGCAATCTGAATGATAGCGTTATGTTTCAACAACTTAGCTGATTCCAAATTTTGCGGCGCTTCTAATTTCCCGACGATCGTGTTTTTAAAGCTTTCAATTTCGTTAGCGAATTTACTGGAAGTTGTATATTTACTCGGTGTTTGCGTAGTATTGCCTAGAAAGGAAAAAGTAGCTGTTGTGTTTTCCGTGAATTCAAATAATGTAACGGCCAATCGGCTCCTATTAAATTTCAAGAAAATCATGTTTCGCTGATAGTTGGTATTCCGTGTTTGTTGGATCTGATAATTTGCTCGTTGCCTAGTATTTCACCTTTCGGTTTTGAAACTCATTGTACTCTTCTATCTTTTTGTGCTGAAATTTTTGGGAACTCCGGTTCTTTTGCATTATTGGGGGGGGGGGCTAATTTTTTCGAGAAGGCCATAAATACCTAGTAACATATTCAACCAAAACATAATTAATTATTAAATTTTCGTCATCAACCGATTTTGCAGTTTAAAAAAATTTACAAATCTTAATGAAATGATATTAAACTTGTTCTATTTAAACCCGGAAATTGCTGATTTTTGGTTGGGGAAGCCGGATGCTGATGGGGGCAAAGGTCCGCGCTCAGCGTCTCCTAGGCAAATATACGCTTTGGCTTCTCGATTCTGGCTTTCTCTCTCTCTCTCTCTCTCTCTCTCTCTCTCTCTCTCTCTCTCCCCTCTGCACTCTCCTCTCTCCACTCTCTCGCCCTTTCGGGCCCTTGTTTTCGCCACTTCTCCTCCCCACCTCTAGCCATCAAAACAGCCCAATAAATCCAGCGAGCGGCCATGTTTTGCATCTAATTCTTTTCGCGGCCGTTTTTCTTTATTTCTCCGCTCTCTCCGCGATTTTTCCAGAGTTTCCGGCGCGCTTTCCGGAAAATCCATTGGGTCCAAAGGTTCAATCCAGAAAGCCAGAAAAATCAGAATTAATCAAATAAAATAAATAACAAAAACAAACATTAAAAGGTGATAAAATGCAGACTTTTTATAGTCCCAAAAAAAACGTAAAAACCTCCCAGATACAGCTTGAATTATTAATATTTTTTCCAGTGAATTCATGTTTTTTTTGGGTAAAACATTTTGTTGATTTGGAATCATTTGTATGAACTTTTGTCCTCATTTTTCCTTTCTAGCTCTATCTTTCCCTTATCTTTGTTTTTTTGAAAGCGCGATTATTTTTTTACTAATTATACAGTTCTGCCCTTCGCAAAATTTTTGCTCTCCCGTGAGGAATCGTATTATGATATTTTTATCGTGATTGGTGATTTTTAAGGGATGAAACATAGATTAGTAGCTATTTCTCCGCTTCCTATTAACAGCTCAAAATACGATCCAGCTACGCCTAAGAATAAAACATATTTTTGTCCACTTGCCAACCGTTTTTTATTGTTATGGTCGCTTTTTAACAAAATTTGACAACCACTTTGCAAATACCAATTAATAACATTTTTAACGCCGCCTTGGTGTTTCATGGCTAAAGCATAATTTTTAAATAAAATTTGGAATAATTAAGTTGACTCTGGTGGTTCCTTTCTTATGCTATTAGTACGTTGGCGTTCTAATTCCACCATTCGTATAATTTTTTAACTATCGGATAGATTTTTTACGAATTATATAATTCTTCGTATCACGAAATTTTTTGCTCACTGATGGACTATCCAATTACCAGGTTTTTATCGTAGTGGTCATTTTTAAGGATGAAACATACAATTATTTTCGTTGTAGCCGTTCTCTTTTATCAGCTTACTGCAACGCCCAGGGACCGCTTAAAAAAATTGTCAGCTAGTTTGACTAATTTTTGGTATTAAACATATATTTTTTAAAGCTGAATGAAAGTGCCA